CTGTCAACTAATTAAATTAACACAACGTTGAAGTCGAATATTGTTATTATTATTATTTGAACACATGAACACCGGTGCAAGGGGGAACCAAATATACATGCGCCACACAAAGAAAGTGAGATTGTAAAGAAATAAAGGAAAGCATAATAAAGAAACACCAATGGATAGAAATAAGTGTATGAGAGTGAAATAATAATAATGGTAGGAGAAACAGTTCAGTTAGAAAAAATGTAACCAGAAAAATTCATTCAGTTAAAGAAGTTACGTTCATATTTATATAAAAAGTAATATAAATTTACAGCAGGGTCTCCACTGGTTTCTATTCTAAGCCATTCATGGAAACGTCTAAAGCCACTGTGCTGCACCTTAACCATGGAGGAATTCGTACAGGATCAACAGAAACCAGTGTTGTGCAGCTTTCTTTCGTACCACGACACCATGTCATGCACTGACCACCTCTGCTCTTTCCAACCAGTCCCAGCGTCGGCAAATGATGCACGACGTGGAATTCCGTGGGACGACATTCGTAGAACATGTCCAAGTAATCGAAGTCAGTGTTTCAAAATGGTGACCAATTGAATTTTCACCGCTGTGCCCCGAACATGCATTGTCGAACCTCTGCGTTATCAACGTGGTGTTGCCACTAGGTGTCAACAATCCTTCGGAGACAACGATGATGAAACAGAGAGAGTCGTTTAACATCCTCAACTCGAAGAGACCAGGTTTCACAAGCATAGAGCAAAACTGCTCTCACCGACGCGTTGTAGATCCGACCTTTTACAGCCAGACTAACATCACGAAGGCGCCAAAGGTGGCCAAGATTGGCATAAAACTTGCGTCATTTATGGCGTAGGCGAGATATCCGTCTATCAACCAAAGGACGGGTTTACTGCGCAGCAGTTCGTTCCGTCCTACTTTATGGCAGTGAAACATGGCCGGTAAGAGTAGAGGATATCCGTAGGTTACTAATATTCGATCATAGGTGTCTTCGAAACATTGCTCGTATATCATGGGACCATCGAGTAAGTAACTCAGTTGTTAGGAAACGGGTACTAGGTAAGGATGGCAAATCAGTTGATGAAGTAGTGAAACTTCATCAGTTGAGATGGCTGGGACACGTGTCACGTATCCCCAATCACCGACTGCCTCGACGTGCGATGTTCAGTGGTATAGGAGTAGGTTGGAAGAAAGCTAGGGGCGGCCAGACCGAAACATGGCACAAATCCATGAAGTCACTGACAAGTGGACTGAGTCATGTTAGTAGGTGTAGACTACCTGGTTGAGGACCACGAGATGATAGCAACCGATGGTTAGAGACCCTGAATGACATGGCTCAAAATTGTTTACAATGGCGCAGGTGCATCCACTCTTTGTGTTCTCCCAAATTCTGATCTTCTGAATTCTTCATGTCCCTTTCTTCCTCTTTCCAAATTTATTTCACTGTATTATACTCTTCAAATAACATCAAACATTAATCTTCCCGATTACTGCCTATACTCTTACCGTCTCTATCACTACGGGATTTGAATCGACCATTGCATCTCTGTACTAATGTGGTGTGGCAGCTTGAACTGATGTACGTACGTACTAAGTTTTACGTTGTTACTGACTGACTGAGATTGACATAAGCCGCTCTGGCTTTCACTATACGTGCATTGATCTCATCACTCACACCCCCACCAGCACTTATGTCGCTACCCAGATACACGGACTTCTCGACTACTTTTATCTGCTCACCATCCAGGGTGAGTACAGGATTAGAATCCTTCCAGTCTTGTAGATGTACTTTGCACATACCATACCTACGGACACTGATTGCCAACTGATTAAGTGCGGATTGCATGCCTTGAGCATAATCGCACAGTAAGACAATACCGTCCGCATACTCAAGGTCGAGAAGTCTTTCTCCAGGCAACAGATCCACACCACCATCACTTACATTCATCAGAGCTGTTTCCAGAATGTCATCGATGGCAAAGTTGAAGAGGAAAGGTGAGACTGGGCAACTCTGTCTAACCCCACTGCTTGAATGGAACAATGGAGTAAGGTGGGTGTATGCCTTCAGTCTGCCTGAGGTGTTTGTATGTAAAGCCTTTAGGATGTTAATAAACTTCTCAGGCAAACCCTTCTTCAATAGACAATCTCAGAGAACACTCCTGTCCAACGAAACGGAGGCAGCCTTGATGTCAAGAAATACTACAATTGTTGGCCTTTGATAAGTATGGTGGTGTTCTAACATTTGGCGGAGGGTGAAGATATGATCAATATATCTTCGACCGGGACGAAATCCAGCCTGCTCCTCGCGAATCAATCTTTCTCGGGTTTTGAAAAACCTACGAAGCAGGATGGAAGTCAATAATTTTGACACGATCGGAAGTAGACTTGTCCCCCGATAGTTGTTACAGGATCGACGTGAACCGTTTCTAAAGATAGGGACAACTATCGACTCATTCCATGAAGTTGGTACACTCTCTAGTTCCCAGACCCTTGTAAACAACGTCGTCAGTTCCTTAGTCAAAAATTCACCACGATCTTAAAAAGAGCCTGAGGTAAGTCATCTGGGCCCGGTGATTTGTAGCGTTTTATGGGTTGTAGTTCCTTGAGGACTTCCGTCTCATATGGTGGATCAGTCTGACCGATGTTGCCGGAGCATCAAGCCAGTTGAACTGTCCTTCGAAGAATTCTGTCCATCTTCCAAGACGATGGATGTTATTGACTGGCATCCCGTCATCCTCACAGATTATTTCGCTCACACCAGACTTCTTGCTGCCAGTGGCTCGGATGAGTTATAAGAGCTTCCGGTAGTTAGCAGATGCGGCTGCTGCTTCCACCTCATTAACACCGACTGTTAATGGGTATCCAATCGATTAGTGCTGCCTCGGCTCCAGCGCTTAGCACGACACCAACGCCAGCAAGACCAGACGAAGATGCCACAGGGTCCCCGGATAAGCGCACGTAAAACAAGCTTTTCGAAGCGACAGTTGAAGAGCGAATTTGTAGTACTTCACCAGAGTCTTGAATACGGGTCTCGGATAGAGGGCAGACGTCGATATTAAGACTTTCTGAAGACATAGGCAGCTCTATCTGTTGTCCAACCTGCATAAATGTGCGAACGTTGAAGGCAGCCAGTTTGAATGGTGCACGTGGTTTCAGTATTCGTATTCGGTGGTAGTATTCAACTTCCGACTAGTCAGTGACTTGAGATTGTTTAGTTAGGACAGGGTTCCCACCATGGGCGAGCTGCTGTATCGGTTAAAAATAAAATTCGCAAAACGAAAATAAAGGGGAATACATAAATACCTTAGTATAAAATAAATAGATACGAACGTTACCATATGATCGTGAATAGGATTTGTCAGAGCGAGCGTTAAAGCAATAGGAAATTTTCCAATCGTAGTTATCATTGATTTGTGTGACGACTGTGATACTGCCCGGTCCCCCAAACTGAAGCAGTGGGTATTTCAGGGAACCACTTCCCGAGCCTTTGACCTAAAGGTTTAATCCACAAGGCAGTGAAGCAACGTTAGGTGATGCAGTCCCATGGTGGCCAGTGACCAACAATAGTCTCATACGCCGTTTGTTTCCTTATGATCCCGGAGCCCATGTGCACCATTGGTTTGGAATCAGGGTTTTCCAACTCCGCTAGGTGGATCCTACGTGTCCACTAATCTGGTGAAAATGCCGGACATTCGCTTTTCGTTCTCTTGATTTTGTAAACAACAACCTCGCCTCGAGAAGGCAATGAGTAGGACTTCCCTGACAGTTGCTGTATGCACGTGGCTATGTGAGTACATTTCGAGAAGGAGAGCAGACTCTCTTCACCCTCGGTCGTATCAGGGCATTTGGAGGTAAGTGCCATGTACCACAGTTGATCCAACTGAGTACACAAATATGTATGTGTTCACTAACTAACTAGCGTACTCACATCCTGCAGATTCAGCTTTTTTAGAGCTTAACGTACTAACATCTAAAGATATTTTCTGGTTTATTGTTTGATCAACCCATTCACACTTTTTGTATATCTTTTCCTATTTTCGTATGACCCGACGCTGTTTGTAGTTCGATATCGCGATTATGTTTTTATTTATTTGTGTTTTCGCTTACATTCTCTTGGGTATTCCAGTTGAGAATTCTCAATTCCTCTCCTTTATCCTCTGTTCGGATAATTTAATAAGTGTGTAGATTACAGTCATTTTCTATCTTACTTGTTATACTCCTTCAGTACGTAGCGAATTTGAGCATATTATTAAAGCAGCTATTACAGAAGTGCTCAAACTTTTTGACAATCCCCGTCAAGAATGACTGTATATACTATTTTCTATCTTTTTTTGTGAGGAAACTGCATGTATATGGTTCAAACAACATTACATATGATTACTAATCGCCATTTAATATTGTGCAACTTCAGTGCCATCGTTGTTACCAAAAAAGGTTTGCTATATGGGAAAGAATGATGATACATTTGATATTCATCTTCTTCATATCCCAAATATGTCACAATTTATATCAAATTCTATGCAATAATCAACTGTCTGACGTTTCTTTAATATAATCCTATGTCATACCTTACTGACTTTTTAGTGTGTCAAACGATTTTTTTGATCACTTGAATTGTACCCGTTCAGCTCAAGTAATGTTACTCTAATCCACATGAAGTGTTCTTGATCAGTCATAAATTTTTGTGATTCATGCTTATCTGATTAATAATGACTTGTGACCTGATTCAGTAGTATACTGGTACGAATTACTACAATTTCCTTCAGCAAATTAAGGGAAAATAAACAAAGAAGTGACTATCAATAAAAGTAAGTTGAAAATAAGGAAATAAAAATATAAAAACCAAGTCACAATAAAGTATGAAGTATATATAATAGTTTTATTCATGTACATCTTGATGTTGATTGGCAGTTTGTAGCGTAGGGTGTATTTTTCGAATCCTTTACTTTTTATTACGTTTGACATAAAGAAAAGTCATTGTATACTGTGCTCTCTCATTTCAGAGAAGATAGTTGCTTCCATAATGGCAATTCCCGATGAAGTATTTGATCTTGTTTCAAAAGTTTCGAATGGAAATGGAAATATGAAGGATTATGAACGCATTTGTTTGATTCTATCTAATCTGACAACTACAGAACTGAGTTCTGTTTTTCAAAAATGTGATATTTTAAAAGCATTGATGTCGATTGATTTACATGACAAGTTTGTTTAATCTTCTACGCAATAATCGTTTTGCTTTTAGACAGTCTGCCCAAATTGCGATTAAATTAGCTTCCATTGTATTCTCCCTCATACCTTTATTTGACTTTGTTCAATCTCACCAAGAAGAGCTGCTTTTAATACTTGAATCGACGAAACTCGATTTGATTGAGTTTATTTTGAAAAGGGTAATCGCATCCTTACATTTCAGTTATGCATGAAGCTAAGAGCTGGTGTAGTTGAACCTAGTTGTTCAGTAGACAATCTACCGGAATGCATTTTAAAGTCAGTAACTAGATTAGTTCTTCATGAAAAACTTTCTTTATCTATGGAAGCCCAAAATTTCCTGATAACTTTGGGTAACAACAAAAAATGAAACATTCTAATCGTATACTTTAGCTACAAAATGTCCTCTTGGTTTGAAAAGCGTTTTAGGGCCCAATGTAGTCGGTGCATTAAATCCACTGTGTTCTAAATCTGAGCATTTAATAAGAGTTTCTGAAGTAAGTTGTCAAAAACTTTATTTTGTGAATTAAGTTTGCTGTACATCTAGTTTCCAAACAACCTGAAGTGTTCAAAGACGTTGAAAATTCTGGTTTGTTTCAACCTATTTTGGATGGTTTAAATTCGAGAGATCCTCTAGTCCGCTTGAACTGGTTAGAATTAGGGAAATTGTTGACTGTTTCAGAGACGGGTTATCACTTTCTGAATAGGCAAGGTGTGTTCTCTAGATTATTGGACGATTTGTATTCTTCTGCTTCGGATCCATTAGGTGATTTACTACTTCCAGGTGAGTTTGAATATACGGTTTTTTCGGAAAATCCAAGAACTTAGAGAGTATATCTAATTTCTACATAATCAACACAACTATTAAAATAATTAATTGCTTCATCAGTATTAAAATCAACGCATTTGCGATACAGAATCCTATTCATTTACCTCTAGATTTTGCAAGAACGCAAATAGTTCTCTTATCGTGACCACACTGCCCAAAATTTATTAGTGCGATTATAACCTATCTAATCCGCCTACATAAGTTGTGGAAAGACGAATAGTGTTAGGAAAAAGATAGTAAGAGATCCTACAGACAAGCATACACATGTGAGATGTTAAACGTAGAGAAAATATGTATCAGTGTGAGTTATCACACCTTAAATCAGTTCAATATAAATAAACAAACAAACAAAATGAAAATCTTACTGCTAACAAACAGTAAAATGAAGAACAACAAGAACAAACGTTAGAAGAGACGAATAAAATTATGGTCAAAACTTGTCTAATAATATTATGTTCAGGATATATAGAATAATAACTGTAGCTGGCTGATTTACAGTCGTTTGACTGAAAGCCACCAACCTTAGGTTTTGATTACTTCACTTGGAATCTAAACCTCTCGATGAGACCTATATCAACAGTTGATGACATCATGTTTTGATGCAATGGCTTGTTATAGAAACCACTAACGCATTTTCAACCTACTTCTGTCCTACTGTTAGTAACACCTTTTGGCGTTTTGTTTCGCTGCATCCATAAGAGATAAAGGTTCATGTCTTCACCAACTGATTTATGAAGACATACATAAAATAGAGATTGTATATATATACTAAGACCATTGATCGATTTAGAGATATCTTTAGAATTGTAACTTTAAGTGGTGTTCGATAGGATAATTCACTATCAGAATTTTTATTTAACTTCTTCATAAGCAATCCTTCGGGGATAACACTTTCTTCGTCTAACTTTCCACGGATTCATCCTTAATCGGCTTAGAATACGTAAATAGGATTTTCGTATTTGGTAAGGTTACTGATAAACTGTAGCCTTCTGATTGTCCTGAGATATAATCTGAACATGTTCGGAGCACGTTTCTCTTCGTCTTAGTTCAAAATATTGCTTCAGGACTGGTTTATGTCATCTCTTAGATTGATCATAGTGTATAAAATTGTCATTTATTATTATTTTGGAAGTCTTATCACTTCTAGTGGGTTGGTGTCTGACAAAATGTATACATAAATTCAGAAACTAGCTTGGTTTTCAACATGTTCCACTTGTGGCTCAGGCGGAATATTTGTATCCCAACAAAAAGGCGAGTATGCTGTGCAGTAATTTGATCTGCCTTTTTGTGGCTGTAAGATGCAGCCTTAACCAAGCATCATCCAGGCAGCACGAACCATATTTAAACTTCCACATAATATAATCCTTGTTTTATATCAGACGTAAATGTTTTATACGAATCCTTATCACCGTCTTTTATGCAACCTGTACTATGTATTGTCGTTTTTGGTCTCATGCAATTTGTGATTATTCGCTTTTTTTTGAAAGTAATAGTCTATCAATTTCATTTCTCTTAAAAGGATACATTGGATTTTTTGGTAATCTTGCTAAACGAGACCCTGACCATTGGTTAGGGTCAAAAAGCGATGGAAGGTTTAAGAATGTATTATCAGATGCGGTCGATAATAATGCTATCAGTATTTCTATGGTGGCATTTGAATCTATTAGCTGTATAGCGACTACACCAACAGGTCGGATTACCTTAGATAAGTTATTTGGTGAGTATGATTAAAGTTATTTTGTCTCACTTCATTCCTCGACGTTAACTGTTAGTTTTACTGTTCAGTACTACTTGTTTTCGTGTCAGTTATGATAGTAGTCGCTCTATTCAATACTGTATCTTTCGTTACTGTAAGTAAATTTTTTAATAAATACCCCTTTGTATCACATATTTAAATTACAAACATTTCTAATAATTCGAATCAAATCCATTCGAAATATTTTCACTTTAATACCTAGAGAGATAAATACAGGGTTAATGTCACATTGAGAATACCATTACCCACTGGGGTTCCTTTCCAACTTGAATACTAATTTCTATTATTATACAATCGTAAGTATCATTCATGATGACTGATTTCGTGCCAATCGTCTAAGTATTTAAACTTCAGAAATCAATGGACCATATGGTAAATTCTCAGGTTATTCTAGTCAAAACGTTTGAGCTAGAAACGTCATTTTTAAAAACAATTACTCACTACCATCGTTTTTGTCTGAGAAAAAATTAAAACATTTTTACACCATATCGTAGATAAGTTAAGTGATAATTTGATCATTAGTACGTGAACTAGGGGTGTGACAATAAATTATCTATTTGTAAACAGTGCATTTGCTATGCTCATCTGTTTATTGATCAAACCTTTAAGATTCGTCCAATTTTGATTTCAGCTAAAGGTGGCTCATTTGATAGTGTTTTGAACAAGCTTTTTGTATTTATTTCCAATTCACCAACTGAGATATGCACTAGAGCTGTCGAATGCTATAGTTTTCTTCTACGTCGACCTGATGGGATAGATTCAGAAGGCTTATTTGCCGATGCCGTACTTTCTCTTAACTGGGCAATAATTTCTTGTCAAAAAAGCATTGATACAACAAATCCCAATTCAGTTGAAGATAAAGAATTATTAATTGCTCCACTACTGAAACGCCTTTATTCTCTTGCAACTCAACCATTTTTTGAGGTGCGTGTAGCAGTATTCAAAGCTATCGATGCGATTGTAACGCAGGTAGGTTTTGCAATTTATTGTTTACTTCATTTTTCTGCGTATTCATTTCTATGTATTGATTTAATTTATTATGATCATGTACGTGTTTTTGCATTCAGTCATGAACCACCAAAGTAGAATAAATGAAGTTGGAATCTGTTACTTACTGCCTCAGCCAGTATGTTACTATTCCACACCAGTCACTTGCATCGTTGAGTGAACTTTTATCCCTGAAGTTTAGAGTTTACGGAGAGTATAAAAGCCTAAATTCAGGGTATTGTCTTTTTTTATCACCGACCATCTAATTCAGTCTATAACAAATACAAATAATAAAAACAAGATAGTAAATGCTCTTATTGTACCTACATATCGGTACTCCTATATTTCGTACATCAATCGACTGGAGAACTGTTATTACTATCACTCCCAACAGTGTATAGTTTCTAGAAGCCAAAACGAAGTGATCGGAACAGGTTATTCTAAACGCAGTTCAAATTAAGCGACAAAGCACAAAGTAAAAAAGGTGATTTAGTGAAAATAGTTTAACAAGCAAATATGTATGCGTATGCAGATGAGTCATCAAGCGTTTAAGAGTGTTAGAGAAATACATAGGCTGCCACATTCAATCAATCATATATGGCAATTTATGCAAACATGATGATATTTATGAATATATATTGTCGAATTATTTCGGACTAGAATAATTCTGCCAAATAGGTCAGTTCAAGGGCTTAGTTAATATGAATATATACATTAGCTTTTTTGAGGGTAAGACTATTATAAAGATCTACCCCTGAGAACATAAATACAAATCAGGGTGTCCACATCCGAAAAACAAAAATACAGTAAACAGAACAGAATACGAATGGTATATAGAAATGATAAACACAATAGCATTAATTTCAACAGTTGAGATCATGAGTCGATTGAAGCTAGACCACCATGAAAAATCTGGAAGCACTGAACGGCCGTTTCGTCCTATTGTGGGACTCCTCAATTGACTCATGATCTAAACTGTTGAAATTACTACAATCTCCACAAAATCCCCTATGATACAATAGTATTAATCATTAAAAATCAGTCTACATACTTAAAATCACAATATTGGAAATGTTCTTATGGATAAGGATTAATAAAACGGTAATAAATATGAAGGAATTATAAAATTTATTCAAATGGTAGAATATTTGTACGGCAAATAATATGAAAATTGTAGAAGAAAAGATTGACACTCAAAGTTGCGTAATCACAACAACAAAGAATGGATTGACTATAAGATAAAAATGTTTGAATCTCATATAAAACTTAAAGTATGAAAAGAAAGAAAGACAAAACTAAACAAAAACAAACAGAATTTAGCGAAGAAAATTTTCTTTTTGACAAAATCATGTACTTAAGCTATACATTCGTATTTATAGTTATGTGGTAAATATATGCCTATAAAAGTATTTCATTGGGAAGGAAATTTTCTTCGTTGAATCCTCTTTAATTTAATTCATTGAAACTATGTGTTATTTGAATTAATTTTTAACTAGGAGAAAAGATCACCGAAACAAAACAAAGATGACAACAGTATCTTTTTGAATAAGTTTGGTTTATGTCATTTGATATAAATATCCTACCATTTGAATAAATTTTATAATTCCTTCATATTTATTACCGTTTTATTAATCCTTATCCATAAGAACATTTCCAATATTGTGATTTTAAGTATGTAGACTGATTTTTAATGAATAATACTATTGTGTTTAGATTATAGGCAACTGTTGGGAAACCATGAAATAAAAAGAATTCAGGTAATTATGTTACGTTCGTTGTTCTTGCTCTATTTAAATTTATCGTGTTTAAATAAAATAACGAAACTGACTGAAGAATAGGGTGAATCCATTGTATTTCGTTGTTTTCTCTTTAACTAAATACAAGTTATCAAGTTTGATTACTTTAAACTATTAACGTAATTTTAGGTCTGAAAATGAATTGTCCAACAGTAAGTAACAAGATGCATAGGATATGAATGTTAATATGGTTAGGAATAAAGTTTTAACAGGATTTTTCTAATGCTAAATGTGACAGTTCTAGAATATTCTAAGATAATTTTCATAATGTATTAATGTATCTAAAAGGTTTAGAAAGAAATAAACTAAGCTGAGAAAAGCCTGAACTCACTAGTTTATCATTATAATAAATTGGATAAGATTAAAAAGAGGGGTCGAAATTCTTTGGCTACTTAGTTTATTCAGTTACTCTATTTGAGCACATAGGCTAGATTTAAGCCTTTTAGTTGCTATGGCTCCCTCAAATTTTGATTATATAGAATTAGAGAACCTAATGATTATTTCGAATGCTCTCATTGCATCCACTTCATGTCCCGTTTTCATTAGATGTAGTACTATAGAACTACGAAGCAAATATTTTCCTTTGAGCTAAAGGTTCTTTGGAGCATATTCAATTCAACGTGTAGATGCCTGTCTTTCTTCCTGTTTTTTACAAGTACATGCGAATTGATATAACCAGTTAAAGGTGATACGTGCTAGCTATCTATCTACCTAAGTTTGTGTTGTTGGACATCGCATTCTATGCAACAGAAACAATTTAGCAGCAGAAAATATGTCCTTCAAAGCTATCTTAAGTCTTTGATTTTAGTCATGATCACGTGACTCACGCTTGACATGCAGGTATATTCAAGCCAAATCGCATGAATATGGTGTACCACCTGTTTCTATAATTAATTCTTTGTCATAAATTGACCCGATGGTTAGCTAGCAAACTTGAACCAACTTATAAGAAGTTGGCTGTATACAGTTTAAGGGATACGTTTGAGTTTGCAACAATTGAAAAAATAAATATATCAAATAAACTTATGGTTTCATACAAAATATCTTCACTGTTTGCCATTATCCCTTTGGAAAAAACAATTGATATTATCAGCCAACACTCACAACACATATCCATACCGCGGATGCAATTTAGACATCTACTATGTCTATGCACAGAAAATGTTCAGTTCCAATTTAATGGTAAGTTATACTGTCAAGCAGACGGTTTGGCTATGGAAATCCCTTCAGGACCAGTCGTAGCTGATATAATCATTTTATATGTATAAGGTCCAAAGTTAATGTCCTCTATCAGCGAGATTGTACTTTGTGTAAAGTGCGTTGATGATACTTTCGTGTTGTTCAAAGGCATAAATCATGTAAACCAAATACTTGAAACTTACAACTAAGTCCATTCCAGTATCCGATTTACATTGGAACATAAGAGAATATATGTTCCACACCGTAGATCTAAGTATCTCTCGCAGAAATGATGGGACATGTCAAAGATACATATATCGGGAAAAAAACGTGGAGTGGGCAATACTTTCATAGCATTCGCTCTTTAAGTTATAAATACGGATACAAACTTAAATTACTCGTCTTGTAATGTCTTGCATACCTGTCACCTTTTTCTTTGTGTAAAACAGCCCTGGGGAGTTCGACAAATAACACGACAACCCGGATTTTTCGAATATTTGCTTAATCGTCAAACGGAACTCGGATTTCCAGATAAAATACAACTTGTGCAAGCCAAATTAGACATTATGAACAATATGCTGAAGACATACAAAGTATGGAGTTGTAGTGCATGTAAATCATTCCAAAATTTGATTGACAGACAACAGTTGAAACTAATACATCTTTATATAAAGGAAGGATTATGGGGTGTTGTAAAATCTGAGGCTGCGGTGGCTCTTGAACCTGGCTAACTAATTGATAATGTAAAGAATGTAAACGATATATGCAAACATATTTTTCTTTTTTGTTGGTTGGTTTTCTTAAATGTTGTGATTCTTAACTTCTAGTGATATGATTCACATATCAATTGTTTAAAATAAGAAATTTTTACAACAACCGACCAGCTAGTAAGTGCTTCTTCAGCTTAGTCGTTGACTATTGTATTAATTCAATAGAGATCTTAAGACAAACTGATATCAAAACCAGATTATCAATTGAACCTGTCCATAAATTCTGCACAATTATACATCGTTGACAAGTACCAAGGATTCGTAGTATGATGGAGTATTTTAATCTTTTGGAAATCAGAGTACTAACAGTAAAATTCAAGAGAATATTATGTATCGTACGAAACATCCAGATGTTTTAAGTCCATTGAATCGACCAGTAGTCTAGTCTCACATTAAACGGCAATAGCAGTTACTCAGCGTTCTGAAGGGTAGTTGATGATAAAATGTGATTAAGAACTGTCTCCGAAATGAACGTATAGTCTCACTGAAGTCAGAACAATAGTCTTAGTCACTAATCTTGCTTTTGAAATCACTAGCCTGAAGTGGATTTATTATTATAAATATAATCTCATAGTTAAACCAACGGGATAACGCAATAATTCATTGATTATTAACGTTAAAATTCGTTGCAAGAACGTTACTTTTAACAGAAAAAGTGATAACATATTTCTTGGTATTTATTACTACATGTTCGACAGTCACTGATATCTGAAATTAGAATGAAAAATTTACTTCTATAGTCCTCCCTGAGTAAATCACTCCGAGGCATACGTTAGCCCTCAAGTTGATTCCATTAATAACGATGACAGTGAATGAAATATATGCGTCCTATCTAACTTCGTATATCTCCTGTCAACTAATTAAATTAACACAACGTTGAAGTCGAATATTGTTATTATTATTATTTGAACACATGAACACCGGTGCAAGAGGGAACCAAATATACATGCGCCACACAAAGAAAGTGAGATTGTAAAGAAATAAAGGAAAGCATAATAAAGAAACACCAATGGATAGAAATAAGTGTATGAGAGTGAAATAATAATAATGGTAGGAGAAACAGTTCAGTTAGAAAAAATGTAACCAGAAAAATTCATTCAGTTAAAGAAGTTACGTTCATATTTATATAAAAAGTAATATAAATTTACAGCAGGGTCTCCACTGGTTTCTATTCTAAGCCATTCATGGAAACGTCTAAAGCCACTGTGCTGCACCTTAACCATGGAGGAATTCGTACAGGATCAACAGAAACCAGTGTTGTGCAGCTTTCTTTCGTACCACGACACCATGTCATGCACTGACCACCTCTGCTCTTTCCAACCAGTCCCAGCGTCGGCAAATGATGCACGACGTGGAATTCCGTGGGACGACATTCGTAGAACATGTCCAAGTAATCGAAGTCAGTGTTTCAAAATGGTGACCAATTGAATTTTCACCGCTGTGCCCCGAACATGCATTGTCGAACCTCTGCGTTATCAACGTGGTGTTGCCACTAGATGTCAACAATCCTTCGGAGACAACGATGATGAAACAGAGAGAGTCGTTTAACATCCTCAACTCGAAGAGACCAGGTTTCACAAGCATAGAGCAAAACTGCTCTCACCGACACATTATGGATCTGACCTTCAACAGGCAACCTGACATCAGGAATGAGCCAGAAATTGCCCAGGTTGGCATAAATCTATCTGCTTACTAGCAGTGGTATGTGCATGTACAGGGTCTTGCTAGTCGTGTAAAAGTACTGTGCACTTAGGAGGTAGAAAGAACATGCCATACTTACGGACTCTGATTGCCAACTAAATAAGTACGTATTTCATGACTTGGATATCGTCGTACCGTAAGACGATGTCATCTGCATATTCAAGGTCGACAGGTTTTTCTCTAGACGACAGATCCGCACTACCGTTATTTACATCCATCATAGGTGTATTCATCACGTCATCGATGACCAAGTTGAAGAGGAATGGCGAGATTGGGCAAACATGCCTAACCTCACTACTTGAATGAAACAGTGGTGAGAGTTGGTATTATGCCCATACTCTAAGGTGTTTTTTTATAGGGCACATCTTTCTTCAATACACAATCCCAGGGAACAGTCCTGATGTCAAAAAACACTACGATTGTTGACCTGTGATAAGTATGGCGTTCTAACATTTTACAAATAGTGGAAATATAACCAATACATCCTCGACTGGAACAAACTCTAGCTTGCTTCTCGCGAGTCAGTGTTTCTCAAGTTTTGAACAATATATGAAATATGACGGAAGTCAATAATTTGGATGCAATCGGAAGTAATCTTATTCCTCGATAAACGTTGCACAAGTCAAGACTATCGACGCATTCCAGGGTTTCGAAAGACGGCTTTCTAAACTTTTGCATACAGCTCAGTCAGACTCATGGTCAGGTCGCTACTATCCTTAAAAAGGGATGGAGGTGAGTCATCTGTGCCTGGTGAATAAAGTATTAAGTGGAACACGAACTGTAGTGAGGACGCGTATATTTCAAACATTCATTTGAGCAGGCTGACTAAGCATGTAAATATGGTAGTTGAATAGACGCAGATAGTAAGATCCTATTTAAAATGTTTAAATACGAATCAAATAGACAACGCACAGATTACAGATAAGGGGAACAGACATGCACACATACATTTATGATAATGTCTGTTAACAGTAAATAATTTACAGGAACGAACAAGTTATGTATAGTAGTTCACGGAATACGTAGTCAGCGTATTAGTCTGTTCAAACATTAGGAAAAATTCACATAGACGTTAATAAGGTTTCTAGACAAGTCACTAAATAATCGTCTCATCGATTAAATAGAAAACTCGCAGGCAATGCATCCCTAGGTTCCTTATAGGCGTATTATTTTCATTGACATTTTCTCTCCCGCTTGTGTCATGACAGGATAGCAAGGATTATTACCCCAAATTTAGCATAGACAACTAACATAAACGTCAGTCAGATACATGTATAATAGTAACGTAGTTGTCCTACCCATAGTTTTCTGAAGTTCATAACATTTACAAATTTATTCTCACTTAATAGGTTCGAATTTTTAAGCACAAAATTCCTAAGTACACATCTGACAATCTTGATGGAGATTGACTTCGTTTAGTGACATCCATTAGTGGTATGTATGTCGTCGGAATCTAGACTCTACATGAATGGTTGACCTATATTTCACTATTAGAAATGGTAATCGACCGGCCGATACCGTTACATAATGGTAATTCTACGAAATCTTTGCAAATTCACCTGTCTATTGTTGTATCTGTTTATGATGATCATACTACTTCAAATGAAAAATGTGGAAGCATACACTGAAAAATATATATTTACAATTTTTTCTCAATCTCATAATATTTAATCCTCAGTAACTTTTCTCTTTTTATTGCCATTTTTGATATCTGGTTGACGTTTTCGTTTCAGAACACGCACTTTTTGGCTGTCCTTTGGTGAAGGCACTGTTTTAATCGTTGACTTAGATTTATTAGCGTTATTCTTAAGAGATTTCTTTTTTGCGTTGACTTCATTTCGTTTTGGTTCAGTTGCTTTATTCGCCGGTTTCCTTTTCATTAAGGCTTTTTCTTTACGCTTTTGTTGACGTTGTTTCTTGCGTTCCATTTTAAGACGTAATCTTTCTTGTCGACTTTCAGATTCATTAAATATGCTTTAACAAAAAATCAGAAAAGAATGATGGATATCATATACTTCGGGATTCAGAATAAGGCAAAAAAAAGAACTGCGAAAAATGAAACAGCATTGATGTCCTCTGCTTGGTTACGACAGAATACGATATACAACTAACGGCACTCACTTGAACGTGTAGAACACCACCGTCGCAAATCAGAAGATGGATGAAGTAGGGGAAGTGATTATTGGGTAAGAATCAAAAATGTGCAAACAAAAATGAGTATTTATAGCTATTAGTATGGACTGTGACATTATAATTCAGCCAATCTAGAAGTAGGTGTGTTGTCCAATTATAGCATGCCACGTTGGTGTTCTACGAGACTATCAGGTTCCGATTGAATGGAATCTCTTCGGCTTCTTTAGAGTCTCTGGAGGCTTCGTCGTGCTTCTTGAAGCCATCCCGACAGTTGGTACAGTCAATTTTTGGGATACAAATAAGATAAATAAACGCCGATACAATCAAAGTGGCTTGCTAGCTAAACGGCAGTATTACCAGTGATCTTTGTAAATCAGGAGTCTTAGGCAAGTGTTTTTTTAAAATAAGTTACAATCTACAAATTACATAAAATTGATGGAGATTACTGGTTACATTGAGAAAATGGATGAAGTTTTAATGAAGACAATCTCTGGCCTAGTACTTGTCAGTCAATATTTAGAATTTCTTTAATTATAAAATCGCAAGTGACCAATTTATATTAAATCATAATAGTATGTGCGAAATTATTCAACTCACCCAGATTTACGATTGTTCTCTTTCAACAAGTTTAAAAAGCGTCGTGCTGCAGATCTGATAGGTTTTTGTGTTGATGGAAATTTCTCTAGAAGTTTAACAATATGATCTTGAAGAAACTAGATAACAAAAACCAAACAAATGGATTTTTTCAATATACAACTTCCCTGTTTTCACTTTATCAAATGTATAATCATGACTAATAACTAAAGGAGTCGCTCAAGAGAATTATATCGTTTAATTTTTTATCCTTAAACCACCGTGCTCAGAGAACGCAATTTCAACAAAATCTATAGCAGTTATAGGCGGATGAGATCGAACTATATCAAAACAACTTTTGAGAAAAGAAACAAAGTCAAATATCGAGAGATAAGGAAAATAAGATATCGCTTATTAAAGCAGAATACAGTAAGAAAATAATCAAACAGACTTACGGAATGCATACTTGCGCAAGCTACACGTCATAAAATGCTGATACATAAATTATGCTCTTATGAATATCTATTTCTATCAGCGTTAAATACTTAATTCAGCTGTATAGTTAAAAAAGCTTAGATAGACGAGTCTAACTGGTTATCGAGGGTGGAAACAAACGTCGGTCAAGCCGTATAAATGTTTTCCCAGTTCTCTTGATGTCATATTGCATTGGTGTTGTTGCTTGTCAAATTTCTCGTACTTTATTTGCATTTAAATTTGGCTATATTAAGAACCATTACAGCGAATACAAACTTTTGCAGTGTAACTATGAATATTATAATTAACGATAAGAATTTAGTTAAGTATCCAAAAATTCGGCGGACACTTTTGTGGTCTCACTAAAACTAAAATACCCACTTGGAAAAACATTGATAGAGAGAAGAAATATTTTTCTCCAGCCAGTTTTTCATTAAGGCTATACACTGACGGTTATGTGTTTTACAATGAAAATAAAATTGGTGACGGTCAAGTAGTTGTGGATAAGACAATAAGGAAATTCAAGAGTTTATGAAAATAATCATGAATGAATGAAGAAGTAATTAAAAGATAAGATGGATGAAGTAAGTAATATTCAAATGCATTGATTAGTAAAATAATTGGAAATATGCAGTTATGGGGTTGACATATTACATAATGTCTAGTGAGAGAACTGACCGGGTTCTGATAAGAAAATGCTAGGGACAGTTGCATAGGAGTTGAGATAGCAATGTTGCGGCTGTGCAAGAGAATGAAGCAAAAGGAAACTTGAAATGGACATTAGCGAATTGTTTGTAACCAAGTCTAGTACTCGTTGTGTTGATGGCCGAGGTAAAGAGATGTACAAATTGCTTCTAGGTATAAAAAATCCAATTTGTATGCTCAAACCATACAGGAAATTCAGTGGAATATAATGGAATACTCGGAAGGTTATATTTGCTTTTATTAAGATTGTGAACCGATCAATGTTAGACCACCCTTGAAAACCTGGAAGCACTGGATGGCCGAGTCCTGCGTGCTGAGTAGTGGATGCGCGTTGTTGAGGAGTCCCGTGCTAGGATGAAACGGCCGTTCAGTGCCTTCAGGTTCTCAATTGTGGTCTAACGTTGATCGGTTCGTGATCTCAATAAAAACTCAACAATCTCCATAATCATATATTGATGGTTATATTTATGTCTATTTGACATCCTCTATCAACCAGGCAGAGATCTGGATCAACTTTAATTGCACTTTGTTCAACCAAGTAGAATGATGCTTGGAAATTCGAGGACGAAATTGTCCAATATCCAACCACCACTGTACTTTTGTTGCTAGTGTCATTTTGAAGTTACAATCATCACCAAAGAAAATGAACTAGGAATAGACCTTGAAAACAGTAGGTGTTTAATTAAATAGTAATAACTGTGTAACTCAACTACCAAGTACGCTTTTTGCACTAGATTTCGAGTCATACTTTCGGTGTGAGGGATAGTAATACTATCAAGTTAGAGGTATAGAGTAAGAAGGAATTTACCTTTAGTACAAACGAAAAACAGGAACATATACCGTTACTGTATGTATATTAATGGATGTGAGAATAGGTAGCACAGCACTAGGTATCTAGTTATAAGAGCAGGTGCTTGGATAGAATGTACGTAAAAAACCCTTAATGACAATAATAATAATAATAAACTATATCAGCCTACCGTAGACGAAGCATTCTCATCAAGTTTTACAATACACATAAGTAGTTCGAACAAAGCTAACGATAATTTGAGACGATTGTACCAGACGTTGTTGTTCACTGAACATTGGCTAGCTTTCTCTGCTGTTTGCAACACTTCAGCTAGTTTGACACTGAGTTTCCTTGACATTTTCTTAGCTTTTAACTCATTTTTATTTGACTTGAACATATGAGTAACTATTTGGAACAAATTAACGAGATTACAACTTTCGAAACCATTAATTTTAACTTCGCGAATATCATCTAAACTATCGATCATTTTTTCGCATGCTTTCACAGTAGTTTCGACAAGCAATTTTGAGGCCTTGTGTGCAAATGTCTAATAGATTTCGAAATAAAATTGTATATTAAATGAATAAGAATAATCCAGTGAAATCGTACAGTACATAAAAGTATGGATAAACATTCTTAAAATAAGCAAACTTATGTTGATGAAGATCAGAGCAACTTGATCTGGCTGTACAAGAAATATTGAAGTTTATTATTTCTATTGATGGTAATTCTAAGGCTCTTTATTGATGCGACTGATCTAAGGTATGTACGGGTTTCGAAAAAATGCAAGTTGAAATGAAGTATGTATGCTAACCAAGTGGCTTTATTCACTTAAAGTCAGCATGAAATATGCAGTTGACTTACAACTCAGTGTAATAACTAGTTTCAGATCAACTCCGTCTTCTCATTGCTCTATCGAAATTTACAAAAGGGACTAATCGTTTTAATTTCTTTGCGTTGTATTTTGGGTTATTTGTGTGACTCCAAACAAACCTGTTCGACTAAGCAATTAAGAATAGGATATGAATGTTAAACTCTATTTAAATTATTTACAAATCCGGAAAGAAGGTCGTACAAATAATGAATTTGACTATTTTAGCACAATTCAATGTTCATCTAATATGCTGATTTAAGGCCGGTAAGCTAGCGATCGGCTCGTTCAATGAGCTGATGTCTTAACAACCAAATCACCATTATGTTGATCTGGTGTACTTCCATACGTCGAGTTCATTTCATAAACAAAATGTTTCAAAGTTACTCCAAATATACTTTATCAGTGTGTTGAAATTACTACTAAATAATAACATTCGACCTTTCAAAAAATACTTGACAAGTTTAGGTCTAAAAAGATCACATAATCCCAAGTGAATCGCAATCGGTAATTGCTCTCAGAGAGATTACACAGACATCGTCATGAGTCCACATTTTTCTGACATTCTGTAGAACCATTCAGTCAAACAACGTATCGGCATCGATAAAACTGGTATTTAGTGAAGTAGGTGTTTTGCCTTGAAGCATAAGGTTGCCTTCACACAAAAGAGCTAAGTATCGAATATCCAAACCCGTGGAATGAATTCTAATGATTTATCAAGTGCATATCGAAATGTGCATTATATATATATATATATATATATATATATATATCACTCTAGATGCCAGAGTGGTTTTCCAGCAGATTGAATTTAAGGTTCATATATTAAAAAGCATAACATTAAAGCGGAAATATGGACTCAGCATCCAAGAAAGAAGGCTCGTAATTCTGCAATATAAGGTTTAAGATCAATTTCCAACACTGACTCATGTCTAGACATTCACTTTCGGCTAAAATAAGTGAAAGGATTTCTTTTTGATTAACCTAATAAAATGTGTACCAGGTGCTCATTAAATAAATGTTTCTCATAGATGAATAATAAACGAGTTATATCGCTGGACTGTTATTTTTTTCTAGATATACTTCTTTACAAACTGCTTTGGTTCCCTCCTCTATATTACCTGTATAAAGTGCATAGAAGCATGAGTGTGGATGTTTATTCTTTGTTTATCTAAACAGACAGTAAGTCAATATAAGGTTTACCAATTCTAGTTCACTTGACTATTTTAATTTGTCTACAATCAAAGGATAACAAATACATTTATTGGCTTCGTTTCCATAATACGAAATGAAATTATCAACAAGAAATGAAAACTCTTCTTCAATATGAACTCACTTGGCAGTGACTTAGAAGATTAAGGAATAGTGTAGCTTGATGGTTAGTATTACTTAAAACTTCATGAAGTTGTTCTAATAAATAATCAGACAAGGGTGATTCCAAATCGGGAAATTCTGCTTTCAACGGTTTCATACTTCGATACTGTACAGGAAAGATACAAAAACAAATTTTAAGAAATATTTGTCAATTACAAAGTCAATCGTTGACGTGAAAATGAGCTATTTCCTAAAGACGATTGTAGAAACTTACAATAAATTCTATAATGTTGGATAACAATTCTGTAAACAGTTGAGTCCTATCCGCTGAAAAAAAGAAGAGAAAATAGAAGAATAAATAATTAGAAAATTGGCTCTTTACGTCTTTCATTTAATACACACCGAATTGGATGCAATTGAGCATCAAAAAACAATATGCGCATTATTAAAATGCTGGGGACACATCGAAAAAATACTTACTTGTTTTGGCCGCATCTATAAGAGATTGCATAATTTTTTTCAAGTAAACATGTTGATCAAAGTTCTTGAGAGATTCTATAAACTCGGATTGAGTTTTTTGCGACCTGAAACGCCATTTTCTCACAACAAGTATTATACTTGACAGTGGAGGTATGTCACCATATTTAGCAATAAAACTAGTTTTTCTCTTTTGTTTCTGGTTGATTTTTCTATTTGAGCTTAAATCATTTCGTGATTTGGCTGTTTCATATTCAATGGATCCTTTGCCAATATCAAGCACAAGATCAAGAGCAGGCTGCAAAATAAAAACAGAAAAGTTCTCGTTTTTATCATAAGAAATTGTTGCGCAATGAAGTTACATTTATAGTGACCAGAAAAAACACGATTAAAGGACAAAACTTTTTCTTGGGGTAAGTAAAATATCATGCACGTAAAAGCTGGAGGTGGCCAAACCAAAACGTGGCGTCCGTTCATGAAGCCATTGACAGTTGGTCTGATCCATGTTAACAGATGCAAACTACCTGGTTAAGGTCTGCGTAGTAACCGCGACCAATGGTTCAAGACTTTGGGTGATATAGTTCAGATCCATCTACTATGTATCTTCCTCTCGTTCTTGAACTGCAGTGTCCCTTCATCCATGCCTCTCAACCCTGTTTTTCCAAACCATATTCTCAAGGTTTAGTTTTTCTTTTTATTACTTCTTACTACACTATTTCGATCTCTTTGGTTGTTTTCATCTCATCGTGCTAATCACGTACAGCGGATTGGGCCAACGCATAAGTACATTGACATTGTCTGTCTATCTATAAACACAGAGAAAAGAAATATTCACCTTCAACCTTACCAAAACGATTAGGGTTTGATCACTGGTTTTTCCTGAAACATTACGTTTGAATAAGTCAACAAAACAATAAAGAATTTAGCAAAATAAAAAAGTTTAGAACAATGAACAATTTATCCATTAAGACCTACCAGGACAAGTTGAGGTTCAGAACTATACTGCAGAATACATTCAATCAAATCGAAACATCTAAAATACATAAAAGGATATAGTTATCAATAAGTCATTTTAAGTACACATAAAAAGTAAACAACTTACGAAAAAAATAAATATCTAGTAATAACTGAAGCAAATATCTAATCCGTTTGACACCGGTTTTCCAATGCAACCCATTAAACACGCTGATTTATATAATTAGATTTAAACACGATGCTTGGTGTGAGGACTGGTGATATTATCCGACTGTTAGTACTTGATATGATGGGATAAGTATTACACCTAGTTGGGCGTTAATTCTAGTGGAAAGTGAATGAACTATAGTTCCTGCAACTTACAATTGTTTGTTCACTTAATACATTTGACCATGTATATTCTTGTGCTTAGCACTTCGTATATGTGTTTTGTTAAGAAATTATTTTACTGATCAGACATCTCGTTTTCTAATATCAGTTTAATTCGGTGCTTACGTCGATACTTCGGTCTCTTAAATATCAAACACCTGGTCAAATCGCATCACTGCATATCACTAAACGACTAGAACACTTCATCCATTAGTTTCATAATCACTTAACATCTTTCTCACTACAAATGATAAAAGACTGATTTACAACAGCATCAGAGCAGATGGAGTGGGAATCAAACATGTTATCTAATGGCTGGTAACTGGGCGACTTCAGTAAAAATTTCTCCACATAACACTGCCGAATTTAATGTAGAAAACGTAATTATCAAACAAATAGTTGGTGATTTGCAAGTAAAAAGAAATAATCATTTGATTACTTCATTTTCAATTCACCAACTGAACGAGCTTGATCAGCGACTATTCGTTGAGGTTTACGCATATGAATACGAAATGCAGCTGCCAAAGCTTCATCACGTTCAAACATCTCAGCATCTGTGAAGTCCCGGCAATCGTTATCATTATTTTCACTATCTAATGCAGCTGGACCAAGTGCATCACGTACACTATTTTTAATTTGATTAAGTTCATCTTCATCAATATCAATCTCTTCTTCAAGTGCATCAGAGTCTGAATCATCTGAGGCTGAAATATTGACAACATTATTAACAATAATAAATATAAACTACGCTAACCTGATCATCATTTATAAAAAGTACAACCTTATGACATAATAAGAAAATGACTTTTTTCAATTTCAAAAACTTAACCAAAAGTCTTAGTTGGTTCTTTTAGAACTCAGATACACAATTATTTTAATTGTTTACTTTTTATTATAATCATACTCATTTTAAATTATTCTTACTGCAACCAACATCTTATGTTCAGATGTAAGAAGTATAACGTAAACCTTAGTCATTTTAAATAGCGAATTTCCTCAAAAAATAGTCATCTGGTTTTTGTGTTCTCAACAGAATTATGGAGAAAAATAATCAACCGATATACATATCGTTCAACTATTATTGTTATAGTGAACGTGAATTCAGATACGGCAAACCAATTTAATGTTTTATGCAAAATCAAACAGTAGCTTTGTAAAATATGAAAATCATACATTGAATACATTATTTACAACATATCTTCCTTCAGCTGTCCTTAAAATACTTCATCATTCGTCTGATCCTGTTATTATTTCAATTGCTCTTCGCTTTGCTTCCTCGTCTCTTTACTTCACTCTTGTGCTGACAAGTATTCTCCTTCCAATGCCTGCCACATAATGTCTGTCTGTATAAGTAGTGCACATCACATTGTAAGCTTGTAAAGGTCAAATACCATCATCATAAAATATATGTAACCCTCTCATGATGTAGACTGTAAATAGTCACAAACAGATCAGTGGTGCATTGGATACCGGTACTATGATAAACATTCGTGTATATTTCACAGACCACCTTGACGTGTTACTGAAAGATAATTTCTCACTCTAAGTTCTTCCTGTAAGCTATCGGGGACGGATCTATTTTTAGTGATGCATTAGTTAACACATTTACACAGTATGACTACTGGGAGTGTTCAATTTGCATTTACATAATAATGCATTTAGTTGTTCGGTGTTGCTAATTTTAATATTTGTATTGGACATCAGCAAACACTAAAGAATAAAACCAATAACCATCTTGATACTAAGTATTTTCAGAAAGATTTACCATACAAGCTACGTAAAACTAGCTCATTTCCGATATAAGTTATTTATATGATTTTCTCTAAGAATCAAAACAGTACTAAAGTATGTTGCGCGGTCCATACCAACAAATTCAAAACAAGTTCTCCTATAACCACCAATAGTTTCTCATGGGAATTAAGACTCCCCATACAATTAAGTTATCTCTTTGATTGTGAAGCGGAAATGGCAAACGTCATTAGTACTAGTGAAATAATTAGTTTCAAATTGGAGACTGACCTTAGATAAATATTGAAGAGCAGCACTTAGTCTTCAAAACAAGTAAGGCAATCTGATGCACAGTAAATCATATAAGTACGGTTGTTTATCCAAGATGCTTTTAATGAACTCACAATAACTTACTAAGTTGCACCATATAACCCCATAGATAAAAAGTCAGGTAAATAAACCTAAAATAGTAATGACTACTAACCGAATCCCTGGATAACTCAAGCGCGTTTAAGTTCAAAACTGTCATGAATAACTTGGCTAAATAGACTTCCATGAAATGTTGGAAATAAAAGGTCATAAACAGAAATAACTTGGACCAAAATTAAAAAGATCAATCATATAAAACTAACTATCTTGTGAGTTTCTCTCTTGATTAGCAACTTTTTCTTCATCTTCAACTGAGACGGTTTCGTCCTCAAAATCATCAATTTGCATAGACAACTCCTTAGACTGTATTAATTTTGTCGAATTGAACAACGAAAAATGAACTAAATCTTCTTTTTCTGAGTCGTCATCTTCGTCTTCATCATGCTTTGCACGGTCAGCTTGTTTTGATGACCGTGTCTTAAGTATATCACCAATTAGTTTTAGGCAAGAAGGATATTCTTCACCTGAATTAATCGTACTTATAAATGCCTTTTCCAAAACCATTTTCTTAAATGTTAGACGGGTGACAGAGCGCAACATGTGGACAGGAAAGGAAAGGGCACTTAGAATCACATCAGTAAGCACTTCCGACCAGTGGGGACCTTCAAATATATTCTCTAGACGCCTTTTTCTGCATTCAACCAAATCGTTCAAGATTTCAAACGTGTCTACAAACAAAAAAGGAAACAAGGAAATGAAAACAAATCAAAGAATCACATCATACCTTAACTTTTATGTGTAACAGCTACGGAAAAGTGACGGCTAACAGAACCTCCCAAAAATCCTGTTTTTATAGACCATACCATGAAATAAAAATATACTTTATTGAGTTTATTTGTTCACATAATACAAACCTTAAAGTGCAGTTTACCAATGCGATACAAGCATTTACAGTACAATGAAAGTATGCTCCTTTTACGATACGAGCCTGTCTTCAAGAAATACTTCTAGAATTGGTATTGTTTGTTTGAATCTTCCCATCGGTATTGAGAACTGAAATTGATCAGTCTCTTATTGGCATATGTGCATCTTGTACGCATTGCCTTGATTCACAAGGCTATCAGGACTTAGTAGCTAAGATTCTACTGCTCACCACTATTCAAATGTTAAAATCCTCACCTCTGCGATTATCTTTTCAACCTAAATCGAATTCTCAGGACAGACAATTTACATCTTTACGTTTTTTCATAAATTCGGTATTGTTTCACTCAACAACATTCTAACTTTGTAATATACAATTCTTTTTACATTCAAAGTTTGAATCAACTCAACAGCGCTTAGATAATCTTACTCAGGTGGAAAATTTAATGAAACAAGGCGATTCTCCTATTGTGAAGGTATCTGTTAGTTTGTTATTTTTTATTTCCTGCAATTCCATTCATTTTTAATTTACTCACAAAACAGATTATTACCATGCATTGACCTTTCCATATATCATTCATTGTTTCTGTTATTTCTCAATTTTTGTGTCAATTATTCATGTGTTCAATACATTGGTCTTTTTGAACTGACGTCTCAACAATTTCTGTACAAGCTCATCAGAAGAAATAATTGCATTCATATCATAGACATAAGCAATTGACTAATATTTACCATCATACAAATCTCACAGTGTGCAGGACAGCTTGTCCATAAAGTGTAATTTTCTGCTTCTTCTTTGAGTTGATGGGTCTCGTTTGGTTTGTTCAATTATTAGCAAACGGGTAAAATTTTTTTTGCTTGGTTAGTTTTTAAACTTGGATCATTGTTGGCATTAGATTTATTGTCGATCCAGGAGTTTCCTTATAAACAGCTCCTCCATTATTTTAATTGCAAAATCAAGGATTTTCAGTTTATATCAACCAATATCATACCAATCGTATTAAGACTATTTATTTTTGAAAAGTACTTACTTAAAGCATGTTTGATCTAATATTTATAAATGGTAGAACTAAGAACTGATTATATATATTTTCTGTCTATAATGAATGGAGTATGAGTGTCTTTCTTACAACATTACTTATAAATCAATCTACAGTGGATATTTATAGCACTTGGAATATTGTTGAGGATGTGCAATCCCCAAATACAACTAAGAGAAATGAAATCAATATCGATTAAGATGAGCTCCCGTCAAATTAAGTTATTCATTGTGAACTATGGTTATGAACTTTCAGTTCATCTTTACCTTGATTTGTATTTAGTGACAAATACCCAGTTCAAAAATCCTAACCAACCTAATTGATGCATAATCGATTAACATGCATAGATTTTCAATGATTGGTATACCAGTGTCATTAAAAAGTGTTCATTACTACACTGGCCTTATTCTTCTAGTTAGAGGGGTGGGGAGAAGAGTACAGAGGTGGTTCTATTCATTGTACTGTAGTCGGAGTTGCGATACCTCAGCATGGCACATAAACGTATCAGTTCTCACCAGACGTTTCATGATCTACTACCTAATTCAGTTCCCACAACTGCAAGTTTCTCCTGAGTGGTTAATTGTTACATATTCACATACGTCAACATTAAAATGCCGAATTCTGCGACAATGTATCTCACCTTCGATCGGCATGGAGAGAGAAAAAACAGAAACAGCTCCGCACATTATCAGTATGTACTGATCCAACTGATCCTCAGAATCTACTTTCTGGAGAAGCTTAAGGCATCGTTTCAACGAATCCAGACAAAGACTAATATCTGTGTTAGAAGAATGTTTGGACATAGCTCTAGTACATTGTGGGACGGCATTTTTAAGTAGGGATACACAATGTCTAATTATGTCCATATTTGTAATGTTCTTGATAGTCTCCTGACCAGAGTGTTTGTTGATCGTAACTGCTTGCAATACCATACAATCTAATATCCCAAATAAAACACCCCAGCAAAACTTGGCAACATTTGTTGAGATCGGTGTCTTCAAAGCGGTGTTATCAACCTTCAATGAATAAGTCATACCAATAGTTAGTAGGAACTCCAGAATCTGACTGAGCAATTCAGTTCCTTCGGTGTATCTGAATTTTAGGATTGTGTTTACAACTATCTGCAAGTGCTTAATTACGAAACATTGAATAGCATCATAATTTAAGTCAACTGATTGGATTTGATTTGGATTCTTTAAGCCACGTATGTTGCGTACATTTTTGTTTGAATATTGAACCTCAGCATTGATAAAAGCATTTGTTAACTGTTTAACGTACAACTGAAGAGTATCTAACGATAGTGACGATGGTGCAGAATCAAAAATAATCTGCAAATTAAAAAATTAAATCATTATATCAAGCAAAAATATACAATTTTGTAATCCAACAACCTTAACAATGAGTTTTCAGCGTCAGTGAAACAAATGATACATGGTATCTATAGTAAAATCATGTATACCATCTATTGTACTATTTTCTTATAGAACATACTTGAAGCAAAACAAATCATATCGGAATTGGTACATCATTTAGTACACTAAATAAGTGCTGGTCGAAATCACGGACCACTAGACTTTTTCTAATTTAGTTAGGTTCAATATTATTATAGTATTTTACACTACTATTACACTGTCTGTTGGCTAAAAAAACAAATCGTTGAGTAACTACCCGTTGAGAGAAGACTTTTGGGATAAGGTTAAAGGCATTATGATCTATGAACGATACACGAATTAACCAAATTGTTTACACACAATCAGATAAGACTGTGTTTTATTTACAGATGATAAGTTGCCTCCTAGATCTTGTAAACATTTATGAAAAGGAAAACTTTGAGAGCGCTTTTCATCAATGTAGCCTACGAATACAAAAGGTCGAAGTTACTAGTTCATTGCGTTAAATACACAGATCGACTTCCCCGCTCCATTCATAACTTTAATAATTCACGAAATCAACTCCTTTTAAAGTCTGTGTCACTATATCTCTCTATTTGTAGATAAAACCACCCAAAAATTAAACTGTATCCAAAGGGAGAAACTATAAATAGACACCTTACATGATGCATAGTTCACTTACTAGATACGTTTCATGCAAACATTTCACGATACTAAGGAGCTCGTCATTGGTCATTTCAATTTTATGGATCACTGTAACAACTACAGTTTACATTGCTTTATGAGAGCTAGTCACTAGTACTTTTCTATTTCTGTAGCTTGAAAATCAGCTAGTTGGTCGGAGACCTTTACTTTGAGTTCAATAATCTTGATGTACATAATGAGTTGTAAAATGACCGAAAGTTTTTGAGGTAAAGTGCTTACAAGTTAATGTGGTAGCCACACCTTGTTAACGGATCATAGTGATAGCAAGTTGTGGATGTACGAAATGCGACGATACATACATATTGATTTCAAACAGAAGCCATTCGCTTAGTTATCTATTTGAAAGATTCATAACTTAGAAACATAGAGGAACTTTAAGTGCCTTCTTGAAGTTGTTTACAGCAACTAAAAAGTTCTATCTGATCAATAACCATAAGGTATAATATAAATGTTATTGTAAAGATATGTAGATAATGCAAAACTTGCTAACCTGACATGGCTTAGGGGAGCTAGAGTCGCAAAAAAAGTCAAATAGTGGGTAATTTAAAGCAATCGATTTCAACAGCCGGTCTGGGGACATAGAAACCGCAGATTTCTGGAGATTTTCATCAACATTTGTGGAACCAATAATCTTGTCCATCATCACTCTTAGTAAATGGGAGACTTGAGGGAAATAACTGTACTTGCAATCTGATAACTGCTTGCTGAAACCCTCAAAGACCTCACTAGATAAGACGAAATCAAACTTATCCTCCTCATTACAAATGATGTGAGCGGCAATTTGCAGAAATCGGAAAGTATTTTTGGCTTTATTGGCTTTAGAACATAAGGTAGCTATAATAAAAAGGAACAATTAAGGGTTAGTTAATCAATACAATGACAACATAATATTAATCCCTAGAAGACCACTTTTGTCAGCTTTTAAAGTACTACAAATTAATCGAACAAATCACAGCACTGTAAAGACGCTAGTCGAAACTTTCCAATCCAAACAAAATGAGGCAGTTGTCCAAGTGCTGATTGGAACTAACAAATACTTCATAATAAATAACTAATGACGATGACTGCCATCACGACCGTCTAACCAAGATCTTATTTTTTAAAACATCTAAAAAACTGTTCGATATCGGAGACATTCATAGACAGTCTATCTCATGTAGCCCTTATAGTTTTGCAATAGATTATCAAGAATTTAGAAAATACTAATTCAAGTACAAGTTAGCACATAAACACAATTTCTTTTTCCAAGGTGATAAACCTCCGTAATATGAACGACAAATGACTGTGGTAACTATAAATGACGCCCTTTTGTCTGCCTATGTCTTGTTGTTCATATATGTGGACAGGAGAAACAGACGACCGACGCACTTAGTAGCATAAGACTCTATTTTGACTACCATTAATTCTTTTTTGGTTTTCATCGTGATAGCGATCAATGTTTTTCTTAGACTTAAGCCAACGTATGGCGTTTAAAAAGTAACAACTCTGACCTAGTGAAATAAGGCTTTCAATAGCATGTTGAAACTCCCAAGACCCGGAGTTAGTGTCAACCTGAATAGTGTATTTCAAAAACCAAGAATGTGGTATACAAATAACATGCTCATGCCACATTTTAGAGATTCGAACACAAGTTTTAAATCGTGAGTTGAATGATAATCGACCTATCTTGGTGACGATTTACAGTTGGATCCTTTGATGCTTGATAATGCAACGGGAAATTACTGCTGGTTTGCGTATGCAAGCATAATTTAATAATAAGAAATACGCCCAACTATAGTCAAGTTAGAAGTCACGAAGTAATTATCTGATTAGTTTGTTAAGAAAATTACAAAAGACCTGAGTATATACTGATAGTTGAGATGGAGCACTGATATTCAAAAAGTTAAAGACCACAACACAGGTCAGAGACTCAAATGATACGGTGAATGTAAAACTGAAGTGAACCGTGGTTATTCTAGAGGTTTAAACGATAACTTGGACAATCCACTACATCAACCAAGTTAGATTTTATGGCAGTGGAACACAGAAATAAGGGTAATTGACCAATAGATTTAACAAAATCTAATCTGACTCACCGCAGACATAACAGCTCTATATTTAAGAAGAAACTAACTAACCAGTTTATACACAGTTTTTATGAACACTATGTTAACAAGAAAACCTGTTCTATCAACAATATATCTTCATAATAATCTGCATTAAAAAATTGCTGAAGGAGTTTTGGGTATCACCTTAGTCAGCTTATCCACATACATAGAAAACCGTTACGTTAAAATGCTCACCTTTGACAGAATCCCAAACAGTACTCAGGATATCGCGCTTTAAAACTTCATCGATTAACCGCATCACAATGGCATCGTGAGAATGCTTGCTAAATGAAGTTAACACAAAAGGTTCTTACAAGAATTCCAAATAAGAGCTTCCTACGATACTGTTTCTCAGATAATTTGAATGCTGGAATATCTAGCTTTTGAAGACGTTTCTGAAAGTACAGTCATATTTATGGATTCAGTACCTGAAAGCGATGCTGAAATGACAGAAGGACAAGCAGGAGTTCTCCGGTGATATCCGAGTTTGAAGACATGAGGTTTTGCCATGTTTCTTTCAAAAAACAACTCAATTTTGCGATTAAATGTTTAGGTGCCTAATAAATGTGCATTAACAACTCAAACATTACTTGAAGACTCATTTCCGAAATTGCTAAATATGCGGCAGCTCTATGATGAATGGATTTTGTCAACAGGATAATAGGTTGAAGCAATACTTTAGCGAACTCTTCATCAATCTGTTCTTAGTGGCGACAAACACAACGTACCTCCTTTATTCTGCCAGATGCACAAAGCACTCTTGTGCATGCTAAGTACGCTGATTTCACAGACGAACGTTCCTGGATTTCATATTAACGAAATATTTGCTATCTACATTTTGAGTGGACGGCTCTGAGGCAAAAACTTGAACACTCATGGATTCCGCTAGTTCTTTGGTTGAGGTTTCTGTTGGAAAATCTTTGAGGTAACGTATAAGACAGTGCTCATAGCTAGACCTCGTAGACTCATCAAACGACTTTAGACCTTTAACGAGCCTTTGTCTTGTATACGTGAAGTAAGTGGTTTTCACCTAGTCTATTTAATTTGTTTGGATTAACCTACTTCACCCGTTTTACTACTTAACAAATCTACCAGCTTGTTGGAGGCTTCTATCCTTTGGTTTTCATCTCTAGCTGATAATCCCCAGAACAGATCCAAAAAAGTACGGTCAATTTGCATAACGTGATTCCCTGAGTCGTGACCTTCGAAAACAAATTAGTAGTCAACCCCAGAAGGTCACCAAGAGTTTAAACTTTCGAAATTTATTGAGCAAAACCATGAATTGTTTATACTTTCGATCTTAAGCATGGTTAAGGGAGTCGTTTTTCATGGAACTATGTTGTTCGTTCATCGACTCTTCTTCTTCTTCGATGAGAGGAGTATCCTTTATAATAATTGTGTAAATGAGTATTCACACAATACAAGCTTTTGCTTAACAGGGTTCTGGGTCTAGTAACAGTGGACCACTGATGCTTTCAATTGGGGGACCTGGGTATGTTTGACAAGCGGGACGTGAAGGTTAGCAAATAACAATAAAATGACGTCACAAATCCTTGAGAATGTTTTAGGTTTTCTATTTTCCCCGTTCCTCATCAACGACACAAATCTCTCAAAGTACACGAAGTCTCTTGAAGGACTCCTGAGATTTTTCGTCTGCTATGTCTGCTGATATTGAATCTCAGTACTTGACTACTCATGAATATTAGGTATACTAACATAGTAATCTTAGAATTTGATAATTTCGTGATGAGATCATTTGAACAAAGTGATTTATTTCTACTGGCATACTGCCATAAGGAAACAGTTACAGGTCTTCATTATTCTACAATAAGCTTAGCTTAGACACAAGATTCCGATAACCCTGAGGAATTCGAGTTGTTGGAGGCTGATGACGTTTGAGATTATCCTAAGTTGAATAACTTGGCGAAATTACCATCTTCCAAACTGACGATCATTAGTTTGGTTTCCAGTAATAACCGTGGCATGGTAAGTAAAAGAACAAACCGGAGTGAAAAGAAGTAAATAATAAGAATGTGCGCGTAAAACAAGAACATAGGTATCTAGGAGGATGATCAAGGTAATGAAAACAACACGAACAGAGGTGATGTGTTTGTGTTGATTGATAATTCCTGTATAAAAGAAATTTTTATTTTACTCCACTCTCATCTTCAGAATACAATTCCTTAAGATTTTCCGACGGAGAACTCTTTAACTTGGACGGTGGTCCATATGAGATTGTCGAAATAAAAAATGGAAAATCCTAGGGAATACTAGTCAACTTGCTAAGTTTAACTGCCTCTAGTTATCATGCAACCATTCTCATGGAGTCAGTATTAAAATGAACAGAAACTAATTGAAGTAGAAAGCTTTTGAAAGTTTCATGAAACGATCTGAATTTTGAAATGTGACCAGAAACGATAGTGAAAGTGATTAAACTGACATTTATCGGTGAAACTACTTATGAATCACTTAAGATCTGGCTTTTTTTAAATGATCAGTTTGATTATCATATGAGACTCCCAAGAGTTTATTACTCATTTGTGTTAACTGTGCCAATTTCGGATACACTGAGGGATCAATGTTCTATAAAACAGTAGAACATAATAATTAGAATTTTCGAACTTCCATACTTAAACTACAGAAATATGCCGCAAAACGTAACTTTAGAGTCCAGTTGCGAATTCCGCTCTATGATCAATTGATTATTGGGATGGAAATATACTCATCGTTGTCACACCAACATGGTGTATCCTGGGTCAGAATAAAGGCCATGTAATCAATGAGTTTGTCTCATAACGTGATTTCTATTAAAAAAGTAGATTGTATTGTGAGTTCAGTCATGGCTGTAATTTTTACTCACTATATAGAACTGTATTTGTAGAACTATGGTCTACTATGATATTAGTACTGCTCTAATAATAGACCTAATCCTAAATTTGTAGATTCGTCATGATATAACTGCCTAATCTATAAGATCTTACGTGGAAGTCACACCATCGACTACGCCAACTCACTGTATCGTATCAATTACCAATACATGATGAAGAACAAGGTTAGGTTAGAGAAGGAACAATATATTTAATATGAATAGAGACCACGCCTGCATGGCCGAGCCATGCCACTCGATCAACTCCAGTCCATTCAATTCATTGTTCGCGCCTTCTCCATTGTTGGGTATTTATCCGCGTTAAATATTGAATATCTATTTTCTGAGTAGTCTTGTGTTCAGCTTTGAAGATTGTGTGGTTATGGTCCAATGCCACTACACTACTCTCCCACCAGAATCAACGTGATGTTGGTTCGATACCAAATTGGATGGGATCGTCGCGCGCCGGAGGTTACCAAGGATAATAAGAATCCTCCGGGTATTGGTAAGCTGAAAGATAAATCAAAAAGAAAGCGGCAGCATCTGGTCGGGAAATACATGTAATAATTTTAAAATATCTGCCTTCATGCTTAAAACGCTTGAAATGAAAATTTGGGTGAAGATTATTTGAACTATAAAAAATGAGATTATAATAATAATAATAATAAAACGATGCGTGTTAATAGCCGTTGGTTAATAACTTAACTTATAGGTAGTAATTATTTTGTGTTTAGAAATATTAAAATAATGAATATTGTAGAAATGTTAATATTGGTATTAGTTTTGGTTTAAATTATGAAATCGGATAACGATTATGCCGGTAAGTTGTCCATAAGAGTTGATTTCCAATTGCATCTGTATCAGTAGGCTAACTGAAGGAACAAAAGTATTACCATGGTAAAGAATTCCAACTAGTGTTCCAGTTAGTTTGATACGGTTTATTTAGTTACGGGGAGATTTTCTCAACCTCATTTTTACTTGACCGTGATAGAATCTGGTAATACTACTAATACACATGAATGGTTACCAAAATAAAATTTAAATACGTGAGTGATGATTATATGAATTTTGGACAGATAGCTAGGAACAAATCGTTAAACATGAGCGTATTCGTAAGAGACATGCTCTAGACTCAATGTTCTGATCTGTGGCAGACTATTTACTTGTATTTATACTTGCCGAGTGATTGGACATACAAGTTAGTTGCAAGTATGCAGTTTATCATAAGGCGGAACACGATTTAATTGAGATATAGTGGTTACAAGTTATTAAAATCAGTTAGACCTGTGTCATATTACGAAGTGGTGCGGTGCTGCAAAATGTATTTAGCTAAATAAGTTTTTACAAGATGATTAATAGTGAGTGATGCTCATGTGATTATCAGGGAGAACATAAGTTGTAACCAGGGGGAGTACACTCCCAACTCATGTCTATGATAATGGCTTGAACCTTAGTCAGTGTTGGGGTAAATTCGACATTGATGTTTTCAGTTTGCAGGAGATTTGCTCGACTGCTTATACTGATTATTTGCATGCATGATTGTGTCGCTAAACCATCAATTAGACTGACAAGGTTTTGAGATATTTACTGAATGAGCAACTGATAGAGAAACATACTGTAATCATCTGTGATGGGTGAAGATACCAAGAAAACAACACCATTTAATGGTAATTATAAGTCAATTTGTTGACCGATTTCGTTAATAGTTTCATTAATTTTATCAGTCATATTACGTGATTGTCAAGTTATGACAATGCTTTATGACGATATCCTGAAACTATTAAATTTAACTAGTTATAGTGTTGATTAAGGATTAGTCAGTGGAAAAATAGGTATTGTTGCTTTAGGTGATTCAAAATTATCAGATATTTATAACGTTAAAGAATCCGAGACGCCTAATTTAATTATAAATTTCAATTCAGAAGCATTCGTTTAGTGTTCATTCTAGTAGGCTACGGAGTTTTGATTTTAAACGTTTGTTTAGCCAACAGCTACTTGGGGATTTAGTTATTTCACTAGTGCAGTTGATAGTACCTAAATTTTTAATCTTATTATCTAAACTATGTTCGCATTTTAGGCTGCTAATATGATAAACCAATCCATAAACCAAAACTAATACCCTAGCAAATATGACCTGTAAATAGCGTAAATATACATTGACTAACAACGCCGGATATACATTACATGCTGGAATGGTATCCTAAGTCATAAAAAGCTCAGTAAAAGCCGTGATTGTTTTGAAATAGAGCGTAAACGATTAATGTCACTGAAGAAAGTTTTGTTGCTCTGTAAACTGTTATGATGCCTAAAAGACTGTCGCCATCGGCCTGTGTTAGATAAATCTTGCTGGCTTATAGTTTGTTTTTGTGGTTTAAAGACTTAGTTATCTATAACAATCTACTTCAGTTGCATGTCTGTTCAAATGAAACAATAATGACGACACCTGTTTAGTATACATGACTGTCATATAATTCAGTTTTATCAAAATAGTTATAGTACTTGAAGGAAAAAATGAAGCACGTCAGTTAAATAAGTAAAGTTACTCAATTTTTTCACTTCCATTAGTGTGCTCGAAATTGGAAAACGATCAGTATGAAATTATGTGTACTTTAAAGTGTAACAAGCTCCTTGGAGTTAGATTTGAAAACTTAGAACTTGCACATCACAGGCGGAATCGGTAGGATATGACAGTGGTGCATCATACTGATTATATTCTTCATCGCCCTGATGCATCACTAATTCATTTCATTAATAAATCACACGTATGATAGTAGTGACCTTGGCCAACAGTTCGCTTACAAACATAGGAAAAGCATCTCGGATGCTGCTGCAGTCATATATCATAAAATGGTGTTTATTTTGGCTGAATGTGATAGGTGTGATCGGTGTGTATTTGTAGACTATGCGTCTGACTTTGACTATATTTCAAGATCACTGCCATTGAACAATGTCCTCGGCGATAACATCGATGGCTGGATAAACAAGTGCCTGCGTTGTTACTTTTTCGTGCCTTGAAGTAACCCTCGTGCTATTGATAGAAGAAACCAGACAAGTAGTGAATAGGTCTTTATTTCGATCTTCGCGCAGTCACAGTGGAGCGTGGGATCATCTGTTCAGACAAACAAAGGCTCTCAACATTCAAGATAATAGGGAATATAACGCTTATAAAAAATAAGGAAGTGAATGAATACTTGAACAATACTGTTTTGGCATAAGCTTTGTTGTTTGGGGTCAACTCTTAACCAACCAACCTGAGCTGTTACATTAGCTTCCCCCTAGAATCGACTTCCGTAGGAACGTCGGTTCGATTAACCTATGTATCGAAAACACCTTAGTTCTATTTCTCATCCCAGGGGAA